AAAAACTAAAAAAAAAAAAAAAAAAAAAAAAAACATTAAATATATATCAATAATATTTTTATAAATAATATTGTGCACGACGTGTAGTAATTATATTGCACTAGCTAATTAAAATAATGTATATTGTTTAAATAAAATTAATTAGGGTATATAAATTTAGTAATAATGAGCTGAGTTCAAGCTGTATAATATATATAATAAAGAGCTCATGTTAATATAATAAGTTAATATATACAGTTATAAATATTTCGGTGATTAATTCATAACTTTAATTTAATCTTCAATATTAATGAGAGACCGGCCAACCTCTTTTCTTTTAAGATTTGCACTTATAGCAGCCTCCACAAACATCTTATGGATTATAAGGTCTTCTTTGGAGTGTGGAGCAAAAATTAAAACACTTTCAAATTTTGAAGGTTGATACTTAGCTTTGACTGGATGTAGTTCACCCCATCCTTTCTTTAACACAATATCAGCATCAAAAGCACATATATAGACATGAAGAGTGCCATCTTTAGGGTGTAAATGGGTAACCTCATCTGCATTTGTAATTTCATCAACGAAAATACCATCTAAATGTGATTCTATTTTCGAAGGAGCCAAAATTATTTTTGGAGATGATGCTCTAATGTCTTCAAGCATCTCTTCTGTTAACTTTACAGAATCTTGGATCTTTGGAGGAAATGTTTGACGATGTGGTATAGTCCACTTCGCAACCTCTGGGGTAGCACCCGAATAATTTGGGATTTCATTTTCTTTCAGGAAACCTTCAGTAAAACCTAAAGAATTCGTGGTGCTATAATCGACCATTTTCAAGCTTCTTCTATTCTTTCTCAATGCCAACGTCAACATATTTGAGATAATGTACCCAAAAAAGTTACCAGGTAAACCACCCGGAATCATAACACTCAGCCATTTTGTATAATCTTTGTAAACTGTGTAAGATAAAGCAGCAGTAATTGCAACAACAAGAGGTCTTAACCAAAGTTTCTGTTCAATCATGTTAAGATTGTTTGATCAGGAAACGTACTCTCAAACTTTCTAGGGAGTTTTTGGTCTTTTTATACACACCAGGATCAGTGAGCCTATGATTTATGTAAGCGCGAATAGAGCTGTTTCACGGAGAAGGCTACCTCAAAGACCAGAGAGCTGCAATTTTGGAAACTGGCAGGGAAAAAAGACAATAAAGTTGATGACTTTGGCTTCAAAGTACTGCTTTCAAGATCTTTCTACGTGTAGTTCAATGAAAGTTGAATTTGGTCCTATTCATCGCTTCAATTTTGCGGCTCAGATATCCTGCAGGCACACGATTTATTTGTCTTCGAACCATCGACAAAGTAATTTTCAAGCCCTATCTCTACTTACTAGTATCCTCATGAGATGTTTAGCCAACAAGTAACTCAAAGTTTTCTAAAAGGTTTTGATAAAGGCATCTATTTGCCTTCTTTATTGTCTTCTCGGACTTCAAATTCTCCATAGCCCCCCATTAGGAATATTACCCATTATAGCAAATTGATTACATAATGTTTTTTTTTTTTTTTTGAAGCTGAAAAAAATTATAGACTTCTACGGAAGTCCAGAGAAAACTGGAACTATTTGCTTTTGAATCTTCTCGATTTTTTGATTTATAATAGAAGTGAACTACTTAAAGAACTCAACTATTTTGGAAATTTCATGAAAAGAACTAGTTTTAGTGAAAATCAAGATCTTAAAAGACCAAAGTTAGAAGAAGAAGATTCTATGATGACAGATCAAGAACAAACAGAAAAGAAAGAACAATTTTTCGCCCCAGTTGGTGAAGCTGCTCAAGATATTGACAATGAGAACTCAAATGATTTCAATGATGAAGGTATCCGTCAAACTGGTGCTGCAGATGCCGAAGGACATCCTGTCCAAGAGATCAAGTCTCTTTGTATGAACTGTCATGATGAAGGTGTTACAAGATTATTGCTTACAAGCATTCCATACTTTAGAGAAGTCATTATTGTTTCATTTGAATGTGAACATTGTGGTTTCAAAAACTCTGAAATTCAACCAGCATCAAACATTCAAGAGAAAGGTTCAAAATACATACTGAAAATTGAGTCTAAAGAAGATTTTAACAGACAAATTGTTAAATCTGAAACTGCTTCAAGTAAATTTGTTGAATTAGATATTGAAATTCCACCAAAGAGAGGACAATTGACAAATATTGAAGGTTTGTTATCAGAAATGATTGATGACTTGAAATCAGACCAACCAGAAAGAAAGAAAATTGATGAAGCCACTTACGAAAAAATCGAACAATTTATCAACAAAGTTCAATCAACCTTAAATGCCGAAGAAGGCACTTTACCATTGACTTTCGAATTAGATGATCCAGCTGGTAACTCCTGGATCGAGTTTATTCCAAATGAAGCCTCTCATAAATGGTCCCATGTTGAATATATCAGATCAGATGAACAAAATGTTCAAATAGGGTTGATTACCCCAGATCAATTACAGGAAATCCGTTTGAAAAAAGCTGAAGAATTAGCTGAAAAAGATCGTAATCCAACTTCAACTGGATTCATTTCAGATCAAACAGATATTGAAAATTTTGAAAATGAAGTCCAAACTTTTTCAGCAACTTGTCCAACTTGTTATGCCCCATGTGAAACGCATATGAAAGTTGTCAATATTCCTCATTTCAAAGATGTCATTATTATGAGTACTGTTTGTGATAAATGTGGTTATAAATCAAATGAAGTTAAAACTGGTGGTGCTATCCCAGAAAAAGGTCGTCGTATTATTTTGAAAGTTGATGATCCAGAAGATTTAGCCAGAGATATTTTGAAATCAGAGACATGTGGCTTAAGCATACCAGAATTGAACTTGGAATTGAATCCAGGTACTCTTGGTGGTCGTTTCACAACCATTGAAGGTTTATTGACTCAAGTTTATGAAGAATTACATAGCAGAGTTTTCACTCAAACTTCTGATTCTATGGATGAAGAAAGTAAAACTCGTTGGAGTGGATTTTTTGAAAACTTACAATCTGCTATTGATGGTAAGAAAAAATTCACTGTCAAAATGGAAGATCCTCTAGCTGGTTCATACATTCAAAATGTTTATGCTCCAGATGATGATCCAAATATGACATTTGAAGATTTCGAAAGAACTTTCCAACAAAATGAAGACCTAGGTTTAAACGATATGGACGCTTAGATGGCTTCATAAACTGCATTTTTCAACCATGTATAATATTGTACATTAATATTAAATCTTTCAATAACAACGAAAGTAAAGTAGTGTTTATTGAATCATTTCTGAAATCACCAAGATATATAAACCATTATGCTACATTTTTGTAATCAAACGAATGCATTGTAATTTAAAATCTATAAAATCAAAGTATTTTTCTTCCGTGTGGTGGAGTCTTTTCCTCATCATCATCATCATCATCCTCATCATTTTCATCATCTGAACCAGAGATGTCTCTTTTTTCATTCTCACTATCTCTTTTTCTATTCTTTCTGCTCACGATTTTCTCTATTGCAGGTGATTGTTCCTTATGCATTTCTCTAAGCAGATCTCCCCAATCAGATTGACCCAATGTCTCTGAAAGCTCTGAAATATTATCAAACATTTCTTGATGGTCATCGGGATTGAGTGTTTTCTTTGGAGGAGACCAGTATGAATCATCTGTAGTGAAGTGTGTCTTGTTGGGTGTAGTGTCTATCGGGGAGGCGATAGCTTCCTTCGGTAGTTCTAACGATCCTGTGATTTCTCTTCTTCTGGATGGTGTGTCATCTTTTCTATACTTGAAGTATTCTTGTGGTGGTTCATCAGTAGTAGCTGTTTTATAGGCTTTTAATGATTCACTGTCATTCTCAGTAACAACAATAGCAGGTGCTCCAAATGGGTTTCTTGAGCTTTGTGACATCAAAGAACGACCATCAAATGGGTTCATTGATTCGCCATATTCACTATTTGAATAGACACTATTAAGATCATGACGATGCTTGAATCTCCAGCGATATGTAATCATTTCCAGTGCAGCCAAATGTCTTCTGGATTGTAGTCTTTTATCAACTTTTCTAGAAACTAGAAGACGATCCATAAAATCACTTAGCGTCAAACAATTACTTTCTTCGAACCTGGAATATAATGGAATCTGTAAAATGATTCTTTCAAAAGAGATACCCTTTTCATCATTGAGTTCCATATTCAGCATTGCTTCCTCAACAAACCTATCATAAGCCCTAGCTCTTTGCTTAACTTTATTGGCATCCATCTGACCCAAAGTTTTATTAACTTCGGCGAAATTAACAAAAACATCATAAGGATCTGTTGAGTTATCAGGCACCTCAAACCATTTTTTCTTTAACTCAGGTATAGTCCATTTTCCTTCATAAATTTTGAACGAAAAATACCCATCAAGAGATCTTAAAAGCTTCGGAAGCTCTTCTGGCGCAATAAACCCACTACCATGGGGATCAAATCTTTGCCAAACTGTTTTGAAGTTTCTGATTTCTTCTCTATTCAAGGTAACATTTGAACCATTATCACTGTAAACATAACTGAAATTTTCAAAAATCAACGAAATGAACATATTGACAAAGATATACATTGAAAGTATATTCCACATAATGAACAAGATGTAAGCATATTGTTTACTTCCACAGTCTGTTGAGCTGAACCCATCACCTTGTGAGCAATACGGTTCAGAGATCGCAAAATCACGCATTGTGTAATTCCAACCTTCACCAAAACTTGCACGAAACAACAAAAGAAGAGATTTTGTCACAGTACGTAAATTCAGATTAACACTAGTATCTGGACCAAGCTTTGTTAAACCAAAAATTTGGTTCAGAGCAATAGCAAAAACCAAAAACAAAATACCCCAAGTATAAATCAACGATAACAGTGACGGGATACTTGCTGAACCAATTTTCAACAAATGACTTAACCTGTTACTGGATGGAATCAATGTAGTGAAAATTCCAACCAAAAAAAGCTTGTTAATATTAGCAAACACTGTGTTTCTGGAAACAAAGAATGACACCAAAGAAGTACCGAAAGCACCAAGGAAAACAAAGAGTTGATAGATATTCCATTTAACTTTAAAAAACGTCTTGAAACCCATGGCATATAATTTCATAAGAATATAATTCAAAAAAATGGAAGATGATATGATATAGATTGTATATCTGAAGACATCTAGGGCAGGTGGACTTGGAAACATTTCAAGCAAAATGGCCAATATATGAATCCATAAAACGACTTGAAGGAAAACACTAACATAGGAATTTCTTTCCACGGTGTATTCGAAACATAGTTTTCTGAAACCTCTGAGATTCCCAATTCTTGGTCTTTTTCTTGGATGGTTTTGTGACAATAACTTCTTAACCTCTGTCCAGGACCGTTGTTGCAAAGTCATATAAGCCCTTCCTGTAGTTTTGGAGTAATTACTGATGATAACAGAAACGAACAAAGCCAACACGAAAACTATACCCAAGAAGTTGAAGGCAACGATAAATACAGCATCTCCAGGGGAGCTCCAATAGCCTGCCGGTGTCCCTCTACCTGTACTATTAACAGCATTTTGTAGTAAATCAACCCAACCTTCTAAGGACAAGATTTCATAAAGAGTTAAAATTGATGAGGCAAACCTATTCATTTCCAGCTGAGGATCACCAAAGGATCTAGGCATAGTTATTTCCCAATTGAATACTTCATTTGAAAACTCATTATAACAGTCATCATAGCCTAGGTTAGAATCATTACAAACACCCAATCTTCCGGTGAATAAATTTAGACCCCATATGGCAAAAGGAAATAACAAAGTGAAAGAAAGGAAAGCAGCACTCAAAATTTGCCAGACACCAAGAATCAGAACTTTATGAAAGATTTCCTTAGATGTGGTACTGATGGTAAGTAATCTCAATGCTCTTAGTGCTTTCAATCCTCGAACAACTCTTGAAAGGCCATCATCACCTTTCCAAATAGCAATAACATTAATCCATAGTGAAAGAAGAACAAAAAAATCAATATGGTTCCATGAACTTTGAAAATAGGCATTAGGAGTGAAAATAAGACCATCGGCAATAACTTTAATCAAAAATTCCAGTAAAAATAAGAGAGCAAAAGCTAATTCAAACTCAAAAGTCCAATTCCACATATTCGCATCAAATTTAGATTTCTTCCGGTATAGTGGTGTACTGTAACAGGCTATGACGACCAATGCCATTGTACTAATTGCTATTATTCCAACAAAAATAGCATGCAGGTATCGATTAGGCTCAACACCATCATAACGTTTCCCGACACTTGGCGAAGTTATTCTCTGGCACAATTTTCTCAAAGGTTGATTGGGGGTTAAAATATAGAATGCTGTATTGAAACCAGGATTTTCTTTCAAAAACTTTTTTCTAGCTTCTATTGTTTTGTTTGTCTCTAGTTCAAAATATTTTGGGAGAAGGGCGTAGTTACCATTTGTTTGCAATAATTCTTCCTTTCTGGAGTAAAATGGATTTTCACCCGACTTTGAATTCCATAACAATGAGCTGAATATTTTCCTGATCCATGTGAATTGAAGCAATCTGTGGTAGTTGATTGTGAGGAAGCGTGCAAACTTAGAATTCGGTAGCTCATTAACTTTACCATCTTCTTGTTCATCTACTAGCTCATCTTTCAAGAATTCTTGAATAGCAACACCATTCAACAAAAGATTCATGACTTGCTCTTGATTTTCCGAATCTTTACCACTCTTGAAAAATTTCGATTTAAATTCAGATAGGAATGTCTTTTCAGCAAAATGTTTCACATTTTTTGGAAAATCAACTAAAACAAACTTTCTAACTTGTGCCTTTCTCTTCTCTTTCTCAGAAACTTCTAAACTATCCGCAATAATTGCAACGAAAATGTTCAAAACCACAGAATTAGATAACAAGAACCACCCGATTAGCAAAATAGCACCAAATGTAGCAGTGGGGGTGTTTGGTGAATTTTCCTGCATTTCATACAACACATCTGTCCAATTTTCAGTTGAAGTGATAGTGTATAGAGCCACAAATGTGTTTGGTAAATTTTGCAAAGAAAATGTATTATTTTCAACATCGTCTTCAGGCACAAACCCTTCAAAATATCTTGACACGATAATACTTGATAAGAACAAAAGCAAAAAGAAGAATAAAGCAAGATTTAAAATGATTGTGATTGTGCTCCAGACCTGCGCCCACAATTTTCTGGCAAACTTGAATAACAAAACCACCCTATAGAATCGTATAATCTGGAAAACTCTCAGCCAATCGTATCCACGCCCTAGTCCATCATGTACTGGTGGAATGATAATAATTGAGGTGACAACAGCAAGAAACAAATCAGCACAATTTCTTCTGTCTTTAAAAAACAGTTTATATCCTGGATGATATAAGAAAAACCTGAGGATGATTTCAAACAATAGTACCAGCGTAACTCCACATTCCCCTTTGTAAGTTTCATCAAGGTCACTTTGTGTACTGTACTTGGTCGTTCTAGCCTGCAAAATTAACCCAACCATTATAGCAACCTCAAAAATCCATCTGATCTTCAAATAGATTTTAGAAAACATCGATCTTGGGAAATCCCAATCCAATTTGAAATCTGTCATGTTTTTGTCCCCATCAAAGCTCTTGTCCTCCTTATCACGAGTGGCCTTGAATGAAGCACTGATAACAGCAATAAGAAGATTGATCATCCATAGGAATAGGAAAAATATACCAAAAATGAAGAAAAGCGAGGCTGCCATGGTATCAGTATTCATGACAATATACATGATATCTGTAAATGTATTGGCACTCATAACAACAAACACCATTTCCATGGAGTAAAGAATATTATCAAAACTCACAGTACCGCCATGTGGATTTGAAGTAGTTAAACATTTAGAATTCACTGGGCACAGGAACCCTTTAGCTCTATCACCTGGTTGGCCATGAATATCAATATATGGCATCTTCTTCAAAGTGCCCGGCTCCAAATAACCACCACAATATTGTTTTTTATTTTTGTACATATTGGAAGGGTCGTTAGGGTCAGTCCAAACACAAGTTCTTCTCATTGATGATTTGAAACTTTGAACACCAATAATTGCAAATAAAACCCAAAAATAAAGTAAAAACAAAATGACATCAAGTAATTGTGGGGCACCATTTTTGATACTTTTCAAAATCAATGAAATTCTATCAGTAACATCCACTAATCTTAAAATCCTGAGACATGATAAAGCTCTAAAAATTGGAACACCTCTTAATGCATTGAACCTGTTTATGCTGAAAAAAAAATCCACCCAGAAGAAAACTGTTGAAATGAAATCTAGCCTATTCCAACTACTTCTTGCAAATGCCCTCTGGATTGGAATATGTTTTGAAATATTGTTTTTGAAAGTAACCGTATGCTTTAAAGAAGGCTTCAAGTCCAGCTCCGTAGGTTCTTCTTTATGGACACCGAATATAAAATCTTTCATCTGATCAATTCTCAGTATTTCAGTGATGGTTGAATAGTCTTTATCCAACGCTCGAAACATTTCCGAATCATCCCAAAACCCAAATGCAATAATCTTTGATGCTAGCTCAGCAGTATAAACCAAATTTATAAAGGCTATCAGCCAATCCCCCCATGTTGCACCAAATTTAACATAACCATGTAAGCTATATGGATTCCATTGACGATATGACAGCAATGCAGTTTGAAGGACAATCAATGCCCTTATGACATGATATGGCCATGTTTTCAGCAGTATTGAGGCTAATTTAAGTCTGAAGGGGCTGGTAGGTTTGAACAGCCGTATTGAAGTCCCATAAAGTACCAGCTTTTCACTTGTACCAACATTCACACCCAACCCTTCCAACGGCAGGTAATCATCTTCTTCATCACTTGTCTCCAGCCCAGATGGAGGAAGCCGTGGTGATCCTGCTCTATTCTCTAAATCAGATGTAGCTTTATTATTAGGACGTCTAACACTTTTCACTCTGGATGTGAAATTATGGAACATATCCTCTATAGTCTTTGATGGTGAATGTGGAGAACTTGGTTGTATACTTGGTGTTCCTGGCCTTAAACTGTCGTTGTTGTAACTAGCAGTATCTGCAAAATGTACTCTTGTTTCTCCAAGGGGCGATTCTGGGTCCTTCTTACTGATATCTAGAAGCTCTATAGCATCTTCATTTTCTGACAGGTTTGTAGTTGAAGAGTTTCTGGACCCTTCCTTTTTGACTGGCAACCAAGTACCTTCATGATCCGATGTACCAAGCGCCGAAACCAAATCAGCTTTAAAGTCATCTATACCCGGCTCAGTAAGTTCGTTCATGAATGAAACATCTGGAGACCTTGGTTCTTCACTGCTTAGTCTTTTAGCTCCCGATGTGATTCTTTGTAGAGGGCTCAGCTTAGGATGCAAATATTCTAAAGATCTATCTGGACTCGGTGAACGCGATCTTCTATGCAAACCATATTTATTTGGGGATAAGGAGCGTGTGCGTGAGGTTGAAGAGCCCACCGAGACTGGTCTTAGTAACGGTGTACCTATAGCATCATCAAAATCCACTGAAACCATTTCACTTGAAGGTCGAGATTCATTATCTATGAAAGGATCAGATGGTGGGTCTATTGTAAGTTGTGGTCTTCCTCTTTGAGCTTGATCATCATCACCATCATCACCATTATCTATGACAAAGGATGGCATCCTTTTTGGATCCGGACGCATTGCCGTTGAATGGTGTATACGTTTTGTTAATCAAGAATGTGAATCAATATCTTGACTTTGAACTAAAAAAACAAAGTTGTAATAAAACCAAACGAGACCTTGTTATCAATAATCCGTGATCCAAAGAACTACTGATGTTGAAGTCTTGAATGAAAATGAATATCCAGCAATATGAACTAGCAAAAGCGTGAAACAGGGTTCGTTTTATCCAATTACCTTTTAGTTATGGTTTTAGTCTAAGCCTATTCCTGTACTAATTTTATCACGAATTCGCGAAATTCGCGATTTTAAGCGTATTTGCTGGCACGCATGAAGATGACAGCTTGTTGATTTTTGAGCGTGTGCAACGAGGTAAAGCTGTTAACGTATTCTAAGAGAAACAACCGGCATTACTTATTTAACGATCTGGATGGAAAGTCACTAGTGGTATTCAAGAACCCTCGCTGTTAAGTCGCTTAAGAAAAACCGGATGTATTCTCAAGTATACTGGCCCTCAGATCTGATACAAGCCGAGGACTATGCTGGTAAGAATGCAATCATCATTGGTCACAACTTGGAAAACAGCGTATTGATCGTGATTACTACTATAAGATTCACTAATATAGAGGAGCTATTGGAACAGAAGATTGTCAAAGAAACTAAACATGGCTATGGATTGAATTGGGAAGAGGAAGATTTATCAATTATAGGCATTCTTGGTGATGCGTATTGGTGGAACGGATTAACTTTCAGAATAAATGAGAATAAAGTCATCACGAATACAACCTCAAGAATGATTATTTATGACCCTCCAAACCCTACCATGATGCAATTTTATTCAATTGATCCTATATCAGTGTCACTACCTGAGAAAGAAGCACCAGCGGAGCTGAAAAATCCTGCTATTGAACAAATCAAAGAACATAGTGATGTTAGGAAGTGCTCACCACAAGAAGTACAGTTTCAAAACTCTGTTCAACTACTTAATTCATGCTGGAAGAAAAGAAAAGAGCTGTTGAAATCATTTCCTGGAATGGAGAAGAATTGGGAAACCCACAAGCTATGGAATACAATCTTAACCAAATTAACCAATACCTTATTCGTTCTGTTCACAATATTCCATAAATTACCATTAAAGTCAGGAAAATTTTTAGGATTAAGTATAGTTGTTGGTCTTCGACACATTGCAATGATAATTATTAAGATTTTAAACCACAAAATAGCACCAGAATTTCCAAGTTTGATTGAATTATCAGCAACCGCACAACAAATAGATCTTCGGCTTCAACAGTTTTGCTATTCACCAATACAATATATCAGAACAACTAGAAAGATCGATTGGAATGCTACAAGTTTAGCTCATATGCAAAGTCCCGTGGAGAATAGTCTTTCCATCGAACAATATCCTGAATATATTAGATTTTACAACACTTTATGGCTAGTGATTAATGACGTGACACTTGGTGCTATCACTGGAGCAGTATTGATTGAAAATCAAGAAATTTTGATCAAAGTTTTTAATGAAATTATTGTTTCTAAAATTCTTTATGAAGACTTGAAAAAAATTAGTATGTGGTTAATGAATTCACCAGGTGGTATCAAATTGAATAATGAATTATCAATGTTTTTCAGTGAATTGTTCACTTGGATGATTGAGTTTTGGAACGTTTCTCTTGTGGATACGTTAGTTCCAAATTTGTCAACTGTTTTTTACATTCTTGCACTAAGTTCAACATTTGGAGCTACGTTATCTATTGCAATTTTTTCAGATTTTTTATCAATTATTACTTTCAATATTTATTGTTTCTATTTTGCATCTGCTAGAATTTTCAATTGGCAGTTGGATATCTTGGCTAGTTTGTTTCATTTGTTTTGTGGTCAAAAGAAGAATATTTTGAGGAATAGAATTGATTCAAATGATTATGATTTGGATCAATTATTGTTAGGTACGTTGTTGTTTACTGTTTTGATTTTTCTTTTACCTACCGTTTTTGCATTTTATTTGACGTTCACCATTACAAGGTTATCAATATTGGTGATTGTTGGTTCATTAGAGTTTGTTATGTCATGTTTGAACCATTTCCCAATATTTGTCATTTTATTGAGATTAAAGGATTATAGAAGAACACCAGGTGGTATTGAATTTGAGAATGAAGAGGATTACTTGAGAATTAAGAGTAAGCCACTTGAAGTTTCTGAGATGTTTAAACCATTTTCCAATGTTATTGATAAATTAAAATCTTCATATTTCTCCTTCAAAACACTAAAGAAAATTTTAACAGGATTCCCAATTAATGTTCAGAGAAATAAGTTTTATAAATTGCTTTATTCTGCATTACCATCAAACCACATCAGTACCTCTGAATTATGGTCTGAAACCAAGAAATTTCTATAGTTTGAATGTTACAACCTTGTTTTTGAAAAACCCATAAAATCATTATGTTCAATTTTATAACACCTATGTACAAAACCGTCTATGCAACAACAACTCATCACTCTAACCCTCTTATTTCTTCTTCTTTTTATCACCTCCTTTTTCCTTCTTCTTCTTTGGGGCACCTTTACCTCTACGTTTACGACTATTGGACAAGTTAGTAAAAGAACGCATAATTTCATTCTAAAAGACACATACGATTGATTAATCTTTAATCTGTAAACTTCAGCTGGATCAACCCAGTCAATAGTTGGGTATAAACTTCTTAATTCTTTAAATCTAATCATATCTGGATTACCATAATATCTTTTGATGTTTTCACCTTTTAGTCTTTGAGTTAGGATTTTAGAACCTGTACGGATGTTTAATGGATTGAAATTTTCATTGAATATATTACATCTTAACTTTGTGAGTTCCAGTAGTCTGGATTTTGGAGGTAAAAAGGAGGACATCCTGTGTCTTGATGTGTAATAATGGAGACCTGATTCCTATTGATCAATGTTGAACCTTTTGATTCTTTAACTACATGATTTTTTCACCAAAAGGCCCATTTGGGGGTAACTTTCGCGAATTTTAATTAAGCATATAGACTTTATTTTGGCTTAATCCTGATATTTGGAGTGCCCAAGTGAAAGATTATAAACTGTATCCTTTTGTTCTTTTCTATCGCAGTGTATTGTGTTGTCGTGTTGTATTTTGTTAAACGTTCCTTCTTTGAATTTCTCATATGTTCAACTCAATAGTGAAAAATCTACCACTTCGATACCTTAAATGACCATCTATTATAAGAAAACTATAATCATTACAAAACTTCTCATTTCACGCTATAAGAAAACTTCCATTTATAAAAAAAAGATAAACAAGAATAAATTTTACATTAGATTATATGATTTATTTTTTTAATTACCATGTAGCTTGAGCAGTACCTTCAGTGGCAGTCCAGTCAGCAGTAGCTTCAGTGGTTTCAGCAGCCCAGTCAGCATCAGCTGGTTGAGCGGCCCAGTCTTGGGTTTCTTCGGTTTGTTCTTCAACTTGTTCTTCTTCAGCTTCTTCTGGGGTTGGTTCAGCTTCTTCTGGGTCTCTGTAGAAGTATAAATCTGGCATGATGGTCCATGGTTCAGCTCTGTTTGGTAAAGAACCACGTAAACGTAAAACTTCACGGGCAATCAAGTACCAGATTAAACCGATAGCATGTTTACCTTTGTTGTTGGTTGGGATAGCAACATCAACGTATTCAGATGGGGAATCTAAATCAGTTAAAGCAATAACTGGAATGTTAACGTATGATGATTCTTTGATGGCTTGAGCATCAGTTCTTGGGTCAGTAACAATGATTAATCTTGGTTCTTTGAATGAACGGGTGATATAATTGGTGAAGTTACCTGGAGTGAAACGACCAGCAATGGCAGTAGCACCAGTGTGAGCAGCGAATTTTAAGACAGCTCTTTGACCGAAGGTTCTTGATGAGACAGCAACAACATCAGCTGGGTTTGGAATAGCAGCAATAACTCTAGCAGCTAAAACAATTTTTTCCCAGGTTTTACCAATGTTGATAACGTTGACACCATCTGGTCTAGTTTTGTAAACGTATGGTTCGTTGTGGACCTATTGCAAAAAAAGTTAGTAAACTGGTTCCCTAGATAAGTCTCATAGAGAAAAATGTGAAAGGTTTGATGCTTTTATTATTGATTCTTCTTTATTTTGTTCCTTGTTGATGTTTGATCCGATGTGAAAATTCTGATAAAATGTTCCCTCTCATATTGATACACGATAAACTATCTTTAAACTCAATAACACCGTGCTTTTTTGACATATTCTACATTTTTCCTTCTCTTCTCTTTATAATTCTATTTTCTCTGTGTTTTTCTTTATTGGTACCTCTTGTAATTCACAAACCTTTCATCACATTTTTCTCTAATTTGATATTGATGATATATTGGTACATACTTGAACGTTCTTTGAACCTAAGTGAACGTTAGCAGCTAATAATAATTTAGCATCTTCTGGAGTAAGATCAAAACTAGCAGGTAAAGACATCTTGATTGTTTAATGTGACCCTTTAATCGATGTTGATGATGTTCAAAGTACGTTTTTCTGTATATGAAATAAATATTTCAATTTTGATGGTATTGGGATTTTGCAACTCCAGAGTGAGACTGTGAGTTTGGGAAACGGTAGCAGTTTTTTTTTTTCAAAGAAATCTGTTAGGACACGCTGGGATCCTTTGTTAGCTGGTGGGCTGAGGGCTCTGCCTAGCAGTTGGGGTCATGGGCAGAGCCTGCTAGGCAGAGTGCCTTTCCAGAGACACAAAGGATGCGTGCACGTTTGAGATTGGCAGATGAAAAAAAACAAAAAACAAAATGATTGGTGTTGGGATGTGATGTACCATTGTAGCCCTACTGAAAGTCACCTGATACAAATCTAAGTTCGCGAACAGCCCTGATGACCGCTGATGGAAAAGATAAGAACGGCGTTTTGGATCAGAGAGAAAACGAGGAAAGGAATGCTGCTTTTTAGGACGAACAGCCTTACTCGAAGATACACCGCAAAGTTAAGGAGAATAGGTGTCTAGAATAAAGTGAGCAAAGTCTTTTATATCGGATCAGGCTTTAAAGCAGTTGTCACCACTACATCTTAAGCCCTCAAAACCCTCAAGTGGCACTTTTTTTAATTACCACCCAATTATCACAATCCCAAGTGGTTCAAATTCAAGATCAACAAATAATCATCAACGAACGTCATAACTAAATGTTTCCACAATGAACATAACAATACCCCATATTCCAAACTTTCAATTCCGTTTACCAACTTTTAAAAATACCAAATCAGCATCATATAAACTATTGAGAAAGCAAGTGACTGCCAAATATGGGAAAATAACATTGATCTCAACTTTAATCATTATTGCATTATTACCTTTACTCAAATCTATACAATCATGGTATTTGAGAAGAGCGGCTTCGAAGAGGAATAGTCTTACAAACAAGAGTCATAGTTTCATTCACCGACTTGTTTTTCATTCAGAAGTCTCCAAGATCATACTCTTCTGGTCTGTGATCAGTTTTCTATTGAACTACTTAGAAACTTATGATGATTTGATGTTTATTGCCAAAAGATTAGGAAGGGTCTCTTGTGCGTGTCTCCCAAGCTTATTATTCCTCACACTAAGGCCATCTCCGTTACCCAAAACATTGTACTTGTCCTTATTGCCAATTCATAAATGGTTATCACGTATAGTTGTTTTGGAAGGTGCTATTCATACAATACTTTACCTGATTTATTTTGTTCGTGAAAACACAATGTTTAAAACCAAAAAGGCAACAAATATTTGGGGTATAGTTGCTATGATTGCATTCACTTTAATAGCCATAACATCGTTACCACAAGTTAGAAGAATCAGTTTTAATACTTTTTACATCACTCATTACATTATGACTTGGGTTTCCGTTATAGCTGTTCATTTCCATGCCAAACCAGGAATTGGACTCTACACAATCTTAAACATCTCCATATTAATAGCACAGATTGGCTATAGATTTTACTATTCCAAGAAGACCAAGATATCAGTTATTCCAATATCACCAACATTATCGTTAGTGGAGTTTCCATTGTCATCAATTCCAAAGCAATCCAATCTGCCAGGCTCTCATGTTCGGATCAATAACAAGAATGGGATGTTAAAGGATATTTACTACAAACTAATTCCATTAGCTCATCCATATACTGTTGCCTCATTACCAAATGATCCAACTGTCAAGTTGATTATTCGTCGAGGTAATTTCCCTTTGCGTTCCAATCAAGATTATTACATCACAGGTGCTTTCGAACCAAAACTTGATTTCATAAGAGAACAATCATTATTCCACAAATTGTTTGAACCAAGAAGATTGTTATTAACTACATCACCTTTGAAATATTCTATTGATGCACACCGTGTTATGATTGTTGTTGGGGGATCAGGAATATCATTTGGTATTCCATTACTGAGAATCTTGAATTACAATGGTATCAGTGCAAGATTGATGTGGGTTTGTAAAGATATCAAGGATTTGAATCTTTTGAATCATTTTAGAGGTGTTCAAGGGATCGAATGTTATATCACTGGTGACGTTGATGAAAATGATATTGTTATTGATTACTATGAAGATGATAAAGATCATCGTAATAAAGTTCTACCAGTACAACCACCAGATTATGGATCTACAATTGAAGAAGAGGATGAAATTGACTTTACAACTCTCGGGAGATCCTACAAAGAGGCACACCGTAAAGGTTCTAGTTCAGGGTCTACATCTTCAGATTCTTTCAAAGATCATGAAAACGTTAATATTGATATTTCAAATACATGTGGTTATAATGTCAATAACCCACTTTCAAGCACTTCAGTTGAAACAAATTCATCATCTCAACTTCACCAATTACCCCATGAATTAATTTCACCTGATGCTTTCAAAAATATCAAGATTTCCAAAAATGTCAAAATTTTCTATGGGCGTCCAAACTTAGGAGCAGATCATTATGATTGGTGTTTACAATCTCAATGTGTTGGTCCTACAATGCGTCAAGGTCATAGTGTCTGTTGTAGAGATTTAGGAGAGCATGATGTGGATAAATCCAAGATTTGGGTTGTGGCTGCTGGACCAACAGGATTGGTGGATCACGCTAAACAATGGGCTATTGATGGTGGATTGAGATACCATATAGAAAGTTTTTCTGTGTAATTATTTATGATTAATGTCAGTGCATTTTATTTATTATACTTGCTGTTCAATATTGGTGATTTGTGGAGTAAGCCAATTTTGTGTCAAAAAAGCGATCGAGATCATCACCTTCAAAAATCCGAAAATGTTAGACTATAACATCATCCTCGAAGCCCACAACTGGGTCTCTCAAAGACTTATTATTTGCTAACCATTATTACTGATCTATTATTCTTGCTAGTTATTAACTCTATTTAGCTGCTCGTCCTTCAATTTAAGTCTAGTGTCATTCGTTTTCTCATTTAGCCTATACAAAAAAATTACCATCAATACAAGTATACAAGATTGATTTTCTTGTCCCTCCTTCTTGAACCATGGCGCCATCCCAGGACAAATTAGAACCAATCATGGAAAGATATATCCCAGCCAATTCATCCAATGGAGCCTACCGCGCTTTCAGCTCAAGACTACGTTCAGAATTTGCTCATTCATCAAAGCGGTTGGATGCTGGTAATGATTATAATGTTGATGTTGTTGGTGATGTTCGTGATGATTCAATATTGGACCTCAGCAGGTCGTCAATAGATGAAGGTTCCACGGCGCTAAGTTCAAGTCCGAGTCCAAGTACTCCTTCTCATTATGGTTCCCCCATATTAAAGAAAAGTTCAGGTTTGAATACCTTCAATCATAGAGAAGCTATTGCTGATGCTTTAGATTTCAAAGACAATAATAGAGTGTTCAAATTCTCACCAAATAAATCCCCAAGTATCAATGAACAATCTATAAAGAATTGCTCTATGTTGTCTTATGATTCACTGTTGCATCCAAAAAGGTCTTTAGAAACAGATGCTGTTGATTTGGTTATGAATGCTCAACATGCTGCGATTAAGAAAGCTAAAAAACACATAACAACAAAGATGCCTTGTCGAGTTCTAGGTGCTCAAGGATTAAGGAATGACTTCTACTCAAATCTTATCACATGGTCCAAATCAACAGGTAAAGTGGCTGTTGGATTAGGATGTAATGTTTACATGTGGGCTAAGAACAAAGGTTCACTTTCATTAGATTTGCCAGATCAGGAATTTATTTCTTGCGTTTCATTTTCAGACGGTGATTTGATTTTGGTTGCAACTAAATCTGGGAGGATTTCATTATTTTCTCAAGAATCTTTGTCATTACTAGATGAATACTTCAATGTTGGAGATGGATGCAGTGCATGTTGTATTACTTGGTTTCCAAATTCAACAACGAAATTTGCCGTAGGAGTTGAACGTGGTGAAGTCTATATCTTTGAAATTGCTGAAGATTTCTCTATTGTTTTGTTGACACAGTTCAAATCTAATCAACAGCAAGTCTGCGGTAAATTGATACCTATCTTGTTTATTTAGGGCCTTACCTCTCTACTAACACTTTAAGGAATTGCAATAACTGATGACTCAAAACAAATGTCTATTGGGGGTAATGATAATTGCTGTACAATTTGGGATCTAGAAGATCAATTAAACCCAAAGCTCAAATACTTTTTACCACATCAAGCGGCTGTTAAAGCAATTGCATATTGTCCTTGGTCAAAATCAATCCTAGCAACAGGGGGTGGTAGTAGAGACCGAACCATTAGATTTTGGCATACAAACTCTGGTACTTTATTAGACTCCATTAAAACAAGTGGTCAAATAACATCATTAACTTGGTCCAGAAGTAAGAAACAGATTGCCGCAACATTTGGCTTCACTGGAGTAAAATCACCAACAATGGTTAGTGTTTATTCATACCCAAAATTGAATGAAGTAACTCAAGTGGAAGGTTCAGCATATGCAAGAGTTTTATCAGCAGCACTTTCTCCTGATGCAAGTTCTATATGTGTGGCATCAAATGATGAAGCCATTAGATTTTTTAAAATTTGGGACCCAAGTGAAAGAACAATTTTGGAGAATCATGATAATGGCCTCTTTGGTAGTGATCTTATTGAAATGAGTGAAGGAATCTCAATAATTGGAGGAACCATTAGATGAAGGATATTTCTTTAGAATTCATAGATTTGGAATTGTCATCTTGAATAGGCTAACTGTAGGTAGTAATCACGATGGAACACCTTCATATTCATTTTCTGTGTAATTTGCCAAAAGCTTCTTCCAGTGTTTTCTATTATCTTGAACAGGAACTCTTTTTAGTCTTAATAATAAAATACCAAACAATATAAACCCACAAAATGCAGCTGCCGGTGCCAACATTTGAACAAAATTTCTTGAACTTGAAACTTTTTGGTAAGGACAGCTAGCATAAGGACCACCAGTAACCCAACAGTCACTAATGGCAATAGAATTCATATCAATCCACACTGAATAATTTGATCCTAGCCTTCCCAAGTAATTTATCAATGAAGTTTGTTGTAACGCAGTTCTTGGAACGCTAAAAACTGTATCACCAGGACAAGCATCCTCTGCATGGAAATAAACACCTTTACTATCACTAATTTCCCATTCATAAGCTCTTGAATTTTTACGACAAACGACATATTTGTCTTGATAACAATTTGAGACAACCCAGCCATCCTGTGTTAGTGCAGCACATTTATATGCTGATTGTGTATTTCTTGTATTATCACCATCTGCAGAGATTTGTCTAGCTTGCTCTGGTTGTAATGGCTCTGAGGTGTTCCATGACCATAGTGACATGCTGAAAATATTTGAAATCTCCGAGTTTGAAGAGATTGGAGAGTTTAAGATTGGTGAATAACCTTCACTGATTAGTCGTTTAATTGAAGTGTTTGTGAATGGTTGTTGTTGATCATCATAAGCAAAACGCCAACTTTCATTAGATCTTGCAATGTATTGAGTGGTGGTGAGTGGAATGGTTGTATTTGTTAATGAAGTGAATGAACTATTCAATGATTTTGGCGTGAATATAACATTGAAATCAGCAGTGGTATTATAAGTTGAGTTCGATGGTAGGTTATTTTGCCATATTGTAGATATGACTCTTCTTTCATTATTGAATAGGAAGTATTGTGAAGATGGGAATCCTTTACCAGGGCCTTCATTCGATAGTAGTGTCCTGTTATTTTCTCTATCTGAATCAAGGTTCAAAGGAGTATAGAGTTTATTTCCCAAAGATCTGGTTAGTGTTGAATAAAGTGTATCATTAGTGCTAATAGGGTCATTTGAAATATGTGAATTTCTCGTTTTCAGTTGATGGATGTTAAAAATCAAAACTATTAAATTGGCTGAAAGATTGGTATCCGTACTTGAAGCAAAATTATCAACAATATCAATCAAGCCTTTCAAGGTTAAGATGGAATCACATTTATAGCTAAGTTGAGTATCTTCATAATACATGACTGAATTTCCATACGAGGATGTTGTTGAGTTACTTGACATATCGACTGGGCATAGTTGAAATGTTGCCAAATTCTCATTCCAATAAGCATCAATAACCAACGTTTGAACACCAACGTTCAACAAATTCCTCACATCAATCAAGGTATCATTGACATAACCTTCCCTATCAAATAACACTTTTGATAACCTCACACCAGTAAGAGAAAGTTGATCTATAGTTATATTAGCTGCCACATCTCTTTGACTTCTGATGGCTATCACCTTATCTGAAGACAGCCCTGGCCAGTTACTTTGGGCAAACACTGACCTAAGCAGCAGTAACAGTATGAATGGCAAGAGTAGCATTGCCCTAGAGCATAATAGTGAGCTTGAAAACACTTCGAGTTTATGGAACCGTTGGCTAATAAACTTTTAGTTTATGCTTTGTTGATGTTTTTATTCCTCTCAGATCCGACCTTGGGCAAGGGCTTCAAACACCCTCGTAACTCGTCTGAATTTCACAAGCTAAAAACACATAACATTAATACCTAAAGAATCAAGATCATCAACTCAATTTTGTTGATTTAAGAGCGATACCAAGTACCATGAGTGAGGAAGATCACTCAGACAGCCATGTCGAAGAGCAAGATTCATATGGCACCAGCGTGCTTTCAGCTCAACGAGATCTTGAACACGAAATCACATTTGCACTAATATTTAACTGGTTTATTGGATGGCCAGTACTATTCCTACTTTCCACATTTCTCACATATACAATTTCAAAACATTATGTTACAGAACCATTCATAGATGAAATTTTCCATATCCCTCAAACTATCCAATACTTTCATGGTGATTTCAAAACATGGGATCCAAAGATCACTACACCACCTGGTTTATATTACTTAGGTTATGTCTGGTCCAAGATCATCAAATTACTACATCTACCTGTCAATCCAATTGGATTGGGAACTTTGCGTTACTTGAATACCATTGGTGGTACTCTAGTACTTCCATATGTTTTAAACCCATTATTTGTGCTAAACCCAATCGGATTTTGGCCTGTATCACTAATTAGTTTCCCAGTTCTTTCATCATTCTACACACTATACTATACAGATGTTTGGGCTACTATTATGATTGTTAGCTCGTTGAGTGTTGCTGTGGCTTTACCATATAGTGACAAAACAAGTATTAGACTATCTGCATTGTTGGGGTTAATAAGTGTGTTCTTTAGACAGACAAACATAATCTGGAATATTTTCATTTTAGTCCTAGTTGTGGAGAGAAGGGCTATGATACAAAAAAATTTCACAAAATCACCTTTGAATAATATTATCAAATTCATTATTCAATTTGCTGAGGATTTCAACGACTATGTGTTACCATATGTGATCAATATGGTGTTGTTTTTCATCTTTGTCATATACAATAGAGGTATCACATTAGGAGATAAAGAAAACCATGTTGCAGGATTACATATAGCTCAAATCTTCTATTGTTTCAGTTTCCTAATGGTTTTCAGCTTACCATTATGGTTATCACAATATAGATTGACATCATATTTTGCAAGATATAAACAAGCACCAATTTTCATATTTTTTGAATTTCTCATAATTGCATTTTTTGTCAGGTTCTTTACAGTTGTTCATCCATTTTTATTGGCAGATAATAGACATTTCACATTTTATATTTGGAGGAAAATAATAAATTCAAGATGGTACACAAAATATTTGATCATTCCTGTTTATCATTTCTCCATATATGTTGTCATTCAACAACTAATTGCAAATGCATTTTACTTTGATGCTATCCAAGAAATACCATTCAAGAATGCAAGAGATTTACCATTGAAACCAACAGGGATCTCTATTACTGCATTATTAGGATGTATTTTCTTAACAATTGTTCCATCACCATTATTTGAACCAAGATATTATATTGTTCCATATATTTTCTTTAGATTATTTGTTGCTGTTCCATATGAAACTTTTTTCATTGGTGAACCAATTTCTGATATCACATTGAGAAGATTAAAATGTGAATTAAGTTATTTTATTGTTATTAACACTATGACTACTTTGATATTCATCTTTTATACATTTTCATGGGATTCAGAATCTGCACTACAACGTATAATATGGTGATCATTAACGTGTATAGTCAATAATAATTAGATGTATTATATTACTGCGCAAGAATCTGAAAAATCAATCGTACGTTACATCCAATTATAATAATATACAGATTTTGAAGATGAAAATGGAAATGGGTAATATGATCAAGAATGTCTAACAATAAACTAATGTATAAAAAAATAATGAAATCAATAAACAGAATGTAATTTAAACGGGTGGTGGTCATTATTCAATAGAAACATTTTCAAATTCTGATACGAGTGTCTTTTTACCGATATCTTGTTCAAATTTATCGGCATCATCATCTTTCTTATCATCATCTAATAGATCTTCTTCTGTTGTTTCTTTTGTTTCAATTTTATCAGAATCTTTTTTACCATTATTTTCTTTCTTAGAGTTGGTAATATCAGTCGAGATGATTCTTTCATTGTCAGATTTGGTTGATGCTTTTGGTAATATGTGAGAGACAGGTGTATCTTTTGGAGGTTGTAATTTAGTTTCACTTGGGGCTGAAGGAAGATCTTTACTTTGCGATCTATGTTGGTTAATAACTCTTTGAGCCAAAACTTGTAAATATGGAACTTCTCTATTGATTTTTTTATCAAAGAATGCAACTTCACCTTCACCTGCAAAGACATCATCTTCTTCACGGATAATATAATTACCATTTTCGAGATCTTTAGCAAAGATTAACAAGAAATCACCCCAATTTGGAGCCAGGACGAATTTTGTATCAAAATCTCTACCAAACAAGATAACTTGACCCCATGTACCTTTTTTACCTGGAGCTAAATCAACACCAATATGGTTACCAGAGTTATCAGTAACTAAAGGAACCCAGCCAGAATGAGCATATACAGCATGTATAGCACCTGGAGGACATGAAAATTGTTTTGGGATATGTGATTTGAATCTTTTTGAATTGTTTGATGAAATTTTTCTTTCTAAATCTGGATCCAAATTCTTGTAATCAGTTCCTTCAACTGGTTTAAAACCTTTATGAGTTTCATTTAATGAAGTGGTTGATTTAGTCTTGTCAACTTCAGTAGATGAACCAGCTGGAGAAATTAATGATTCAGTAGCAGCTTTATTCTTTTTAACTTCAATATCTAAATTGATTCTATCAGCAACTAATCTCCAAGTTTTAGTCATATGAACAATTTCATCCAAGTTCATCAGTTGTAAACCAAAGAATAACCCACCAATACCTGTTAAACTATCCAAATCTTCTTGACCATCATGTATACGTAAAGAAGCTCTAACTGGAGGTGGTAAAGCAATTCCTAAATCTTGTTCAGCTTTGGTTATATCTGTTCTAGTACATGGATCTGATAATGAAGCGTTCAAATCGGTATGATTTTCGGAAGTCCAAGTTTCAATATGTCTCCAAGCCAAAATAGTTTCACTGACACCTTCAGTAGAGTGATGAAGTCCTGAATCATCACCACCATCATCTTGAAACCCATCAGCATCATTCAATTGAATTCCAGCAGGTGAAGCTGATTCTTCTTGATTTCCCGCAGTTCTAATGTGATGGTTATGTGAATCATAATCAGCGTACCTATCCTCGGTACTGAGGGCGTAAAATATCTGGTTTAATTTCTCTTTGAATCCCATTTTGATTTGTTGTTATAGACTAAATAAACCCTTTTCTTTTTTAACTTGATTTTTAGTGTATTTGGTCTTTGAAATGTTAACGTTTCACTTGTCAACGTACTTTTTGTGACGCGATTTTTTTTCCTTTGCTCAGCTCCAATTTTTGAACTTTGGTGAAACTTGACATGACACGGTGCGAAATGGCAGAATTATTAGTGTCAGTTTGGACTGAGATTTTGATCAACAAAAGGTGAAATTGTTGTTGAAGATGGTCATAAATTGCATTTTATCATGGATAAGACCATTTGGTTGATTATGTCTTTTAAACGGTCCAACTACGTCTATTATTAGGATCCCATAGCTAACAAGTCAATACTTAGCCTCGGTTCTTTGGATATCCTGCCTTAGTGAATTATTAAAGATCGAGAGAAAAGAATACGCATATAGGATGCATTCAACAAATAGCACCTTAGCTTCAATTAACCAAATACATTTTATTCAAATATCACGGTTATTCAAAAGATTTCGCAGTGTAAATTTAACGTGTGCGAGTGGCCCTTCCGAAATCTAATTGCTTCTCCGTTTTGGGAAAATTGTAAACAAACATTTCTGATACATCCTCGATCAAATTTAATTGCACATACATATCTTTTCAGATTCTAATCTTCTCAGGTTACACCATTACAAATCCTCAAAGATACACATCCCTTTTGAAGGAATCCAGTCAAATCAATAATGTCAAGCTCAGCAAATATCCAACCTTTACACAGAAACCCAGCTCCTTCTCAAGGAAATTTACAAAGAAAATTGTTCCAACGTAATTTTGGAGGGTATGTATGATTTAAATATTGGGAAATTTGAAAGCCATCATTCCAGCAAATGCGTATTGGGATGGATTAAAGAACTCTCAACTGGTTGATCAAACTACTAACAATATAATTAGTGCTCAAGGTGCTTTTGCTTCACCAACTGATAACATGCTTTCACCATGTTCACAAAAGTTAAATGCTCACAAAAACCGTTTCTTTGCAAAGTAAGTTGCTTTTAAATAATCCAGATCATTCAGTCACTAACTATCTCTAAGCACCAAAGCTACCAAATTAAACTTCTCCAACCTTGAAGATGATAAATAAGCTGCTCAAGCGTTCAAATTTCATTCGTTAAATTTTCTTTCATATACCCAGTGCATGTCCTAATTCATTCATCGTTGCACCTTCATTCGTTCATTTTTCTCATCGTTTTTATATCATTCAATACCAAAAAAAAATTGTTACATTTCCCACTAGATAATTTTTAATGTTCATGCATCCATTTTTATTAAACATCTTTGCTACATTGTAGAGCTTCACCAAATAAATATATTTATACTATGTGCAGGTATGAGTTGGAAAAGTATCTTAATGAAATTTGTTTGCGTCTTTCTTCTATTCTGTTATTTTTATTAATCAAATCAGCATCTTCATTTACGTGAATCAGCTTGAGTATTCAATAATAATGACTCATTGTCCAAGATAATTCTGTTTGGAGAATTAGATAAAATATGAGCAATTTCTCTAGCAGTATCTAATCTTTTCAATTCAACATAATCTTTTGATTTCTTAATAGCTTCACCAATCAATTCAGCAGATTTAGCTTCACCTTGAGCTTTAACAATAGCACCTTGTTTTTCTTGTCTTGCCTTATCAACAACAAATGCAGCTCTTTGGGCTTCTTGTTGTGCAATTTGTTTAGCTTCAACTGCATTAGTAAATTCTGGAGAAAATGTCATATAAGTAATTGAAACATCATCTAATAAAATGTTGAATTTTGAAGCTCTACGAACTAAATTTTCTCTAATCAATCTTGAAACTCTTTCTCTTTGTGTGATTAATTGTGATGCATTGAATTGAGCAACAACTGATTTTAAAACTTCATTAACAATTGATGGTAAAACTCTTTCATCATAATCTGTACCTAAAGTTCTATAAATTGAAGGTAATGCTGAAACTTCAGGTCTTGATAACACTCTACAAGTGATATTAACCATTTGTAAATCCTTGGTACCAGTTAATGAAGCAACATTTCTTGGTTTAGCTCTAACATCATAAATGAATGGGGTTTGAAACCATGGAATAGCAAAATGTGTACCTTCACTATAAATTTGTGGTTGAACACCTCCTAAACGGGAATATATAATAGCTCTATGACCACCATCAACATTGAATAATGAAGAGTTCAACAATAAAGCACCACCACCTAATAAAACTAACCCACCAAACCCTGCAAATATACCACCTGGACCCCCTCTTGGACCACCAGCACCTCCAGCTCTGCTTTGAACTTTACGTGCACGGTTTTGTATATCTCTGGCAAATGATTGCCAATCTTGATTTGAACTCATTATTTATTGTTAATGAGGAAGAATTGAGGTGAATATGGATGATTAGTCGTTGATGTGAATTTTAACAGTTCATTTCAACCACTAGTGGCAATATGCTTCAATTTCTCGAAATTTTTGGTGAAGAAATGTGTTCCGAGGGCAAAGTCACGCTTTATGGCCTCGGAATATCAATTTAATACGAATAATCATCCTTTTTCCAAAACAACAAGACAAGTTTTGTTTGACACTGTTGAAAGCTGGAGAAAGGTGGCAAAAGTTGATTGATAATTGTCACTGAGCTGATTTAAGTCTTTTAATTTGTGGTTGTTTCAAGATCATTATCAAGAATGGACAATACAAACCATTATTTACTCCATGAGGCTGCCAGAGAAGGCAAAATACTAACAGTCAAAGGATTAGTATCAGAAAACCCTAAAATAGTCTTAAAAAAGGATCTTGACGAAAGAATTCCATTACACTGGGCTGTTGCATTTGGTCAATTGGAAATAGCTTCAATATTATTGAATCCAACCAAGTTTCAACCTGAATCATTAACAAAAGAACAAAAAATCAAACCATTTGAAATTGATATTGATGATTACACTGATGAATCTGGATGGACTCCATTCCATATTGCTGCTTCGGTTGGTAATTTAGAAATGCTACAATTGTTATTGAGTCATGATCCTAAACCAGATGTCAATTTACAAACAAACAACGGCTCAACACCTGTTCACTTAGCTACGTCGAAAAAGAATCTTGATATTGTTAGGGAATTGGTGAAAAACGGGGCTTCTGTTAGAACAAAGGATAAAAAATCACAGTATCCATTACATAGAGCAGCTGCCGTTGGATCATTGCCATTAGTAGAGTTCCTAGTTAAGGAAGGTAAATCACCTCTCAATAGTAAGGATGCTAATGGATGGACACCATTACACCATGCTTTGGCTGAAGGCTTTGGTGATGTGGCTGTTCTTTTAGTTAAATTGGGTGCTGATTACAATATTGAAGATTCTGAAGGGTTGACACCATTAAAAGTTGCTGTTGATGACAAGATTGCACAGTATTTCAAAGCTGAACTAAGCCTAAATGGCTATGAGATATGACAATCATTAACACAGTAATTACTCACATTTTATCCACTTGTAGCCCTTATTTCACTCTTTAATCTATTCCATCTGCTCATCTTTGACGTGTTCCATCCCAACACCAGATACCACGAATCCCGGCCCAGTCGAAGCTTTCAAAAAAAAAAGATCAAATGGTTCAAGAAGCTGATAATTAACGTGAGGCTGCACGCCCAAATTACTCTCATAATCCCATCAGAGCAGCCCAAAAGTCACCAGTGGTCTTATTCCTTTTACAAATCACACTGAACACCTACAAACCACAGCAGCTGAGAGCACATACAACTCACACACGCTTATCAATCCTCATCAAGCACTCCATCTTCAAGAAGCCTCCCCACAACAGACGTGAAACCGTTTATTTTTTTCTTGTTCACAAGATCTAAAGAATCTGTTTGAACATCTTGATCAAAGAGGCTATACTAATAACAATTCTGTCAAGGTCTTGATCCATCAAAAACGCTATTCAAAACAGCTCAAACATATAGAACTCAAAGGTTTCTCATACATGTGCTTTGTTGTCTCTTTTTAATAATAATTATCAGCAGATCCTCAAAACACATCACATTCAACAACAACAAAATACATAGAAGGACCACCAACTCTCTCATCATATTCAAAGTGCACTCACATCACAACATTCAATAGCACTAGGGAGGACCCCTCTTCACAGATCATCAAATCATTACTCAACAATGAAGTTGTTGAACGATGTATTCATTGCTCCCAATGAAATATCAACAATACCCGGTGCTCAAAAACAATCAACTTTAATGTCAATAGCTGTTGGTGTTTTCGCTGCAGTGGGTGGATTCATTTACGGTTATGATACTGGTTTAATCAATAGTTTAGCAGACATGCAATTTGTACGGCATGAATTTGCCTCAAATCATACAAGTTTCACAGCTAAGGAAACTTCGATAATCACTGCAATATTATCATTAGGAACATTTTTCGGTGCTTTATTGGCACCTCTATTATCAGATACAATAGGACGTCGTTATGCCATTATGTTTGCCACTTTTGTTGTCTTTATGGTGGGAAACATTTGTCAAGTTGCATCAACTGGAATCCCATTGCTTTGCATTGGGCGTTTCATTACGGGACTAGCAGTAGGGATGATATCTGCTGTTGTTCCATTATATCAAGCTGAAGCCTCTCCAAAATTTGTTCGTGGTGCTATTATATCCACTTATCAATGGGCAATCACTTGGGGTTTATTAGTTTCAAGTGCAGTGTCCCAAGGAACTCATAGTAAACAAACTTCTGCATCTTATAGAGTACCCATTGGGTTACAATTTGCTTGGTCTTTAATTTTGGGTATTGGTATGATTTTTTTACCAGAATCTCCAAGATTCTTCATTAGAAAAGATGATTTAAGTTCAGCTGCAAAGGCTTTATCCACTCTACGGCGTGTACCACAGGATGATCCTGGTTTGATTGAAGAACTTGTGGAAATCAAGGCAAGTCATGATTATGAATTAAGTTTTGGTGCTTATTCTTTTATGGATTGTTTTAGAGATGGTGAAGGTCGTCCACGTCAATTGAAAAGATTACTTACAGGTGTTGCATTACAAGCCATTCAACAATGTTCAGGTATAAATTTCATTTTCTACTATGGTGTTAATTTTTTTTCAAGAACCGGTGTTTCTAAATCTTATTTAATTTCATTTGTTACTTATGCTGTTAATGTTTGTGCCACCATTCCTGGTATAATGTTGGTTGAAATCATTGGTCGTCGGAAATTATTGATCGGTGGTGGTTTAATTATGACCCTTTCCAATTTATTAATTGCTATAGTGGGTGTCACGACTAATTCTATCATTGCCAACAAGATTATGATTGCATTTGTTTGTTTATTTATTGCATCGTTTGCAGCTTCATGGGGTCCAGTGGTTTGGGTTTATAGTGGTGAAATTTTCTCATTGGGTGTTAGAGGTAAAGCTGTTGCTTTAACAGCTGCCACCAACTGGCTTGTCAATTTTGTATTTGCCTACATCACACCTTATTTAGTTGATACTGGAACTCATACTGCAGCTTTGGGTACCAAAATTTTCTTTATTTGGGGTGGATTCAATGCTATTGGTGTTGTATTTGTTTACTTGTTTGTCTATGAGACAAAGTCATTATCATTGGAACAAATTAACGAGCTATACAGACGTTGTCCAAATGCAAGAGCATCAGGTAAATTTGAAGTTAAAGTTAATATACCAGCCAGTGAGCGTGAAGAAGATGAAGCTGCTATTAGAAACAATGCACATGGTACTGTTAATCTAACAGAGAATGAAGAGAAAAGAGGAAGTTCATCCAATGGTTCAACATTTCCGGCTTCCTACGATACACAAAACATGGGTGGTAATCACGAAGGATATAATTATGAAACCAATGCTTATCAAAATAACAATAATACGGAAAGAGAATATCCTACATTCAATCCAGGCTACCAGGTTGATCTTGGTTATGGTTTAGGATTAGCAGGGCAAAATCGTGGACCTCCATCCTTTGCATCTGCAAGCTCAGATGAGGATGATGATGTATCAGAGCCTGAAGATGAACATGTCACTTATAATAGTTTATCAGAATATGTCTCGAGGTTAAGTTCATTGAGTGAACGTCGGTCATCAACTCAAACAGGTCACACAACAACTACTGCACCTTTGTTCAATGTCCCAGAGGTACCTTCAGGTACAGCAATTGAAGAATTACCTGGTGATGATAATGAAAATGATAATGATAGTGGTAATGCAGCTGATGAATCTGATTCAAGTTCTTCAAGTGGTTCCATTTTCGATTAAGAGGTTTGTTGTGCGCTTTCAACAATACAATCCGTCAATTGCATTACAGATTTAATGATAACCATCCTATGTATTTTGTAAATGCAGGAATGAACTAGGGAAAAAATGAAAAGAAAAGAAAAAGAATAATAACGTTCAATGTCAAAACGTTTATGTCATTTGATCTAATAATTTTGGTTTTTAGTATAGGAAAAGGTTGGAAGGAGTTTAATCATCTTAAAATAAAGGTGTTTTATTATTTATTATTTATTAAAACTGAAACGTAGCACCCCATCCAGCGACAGTGTGGTTGTATCTCGTTTCAACTGACTTTCTCATCTTCAGCCTTAGATGGCTGTCATTACACGCCGGTTAAAAAACGAACATAACAAATTTTGGGCACGAACTTCTACCCAATAACACGCACCTTTTTGTGAACTTTGAGAATAAAACTTGGTATTAAGAATATTTGAAAGCTCACATATAGGAACTACAATAAAACAAGGGATAAGCTATTCGCAACATAACGCTTCCGACTCAATTCATTCACATATGGTCCAAACACAGGGTAAATCTGGTTTCGCGAATTCATTCTGGACAGCAGTGTAATAACCGAATCCCATCTCAAAAATTGGTTTGTTGTAAAACCAAAACATTAACGAAAAATTACACTTCAGGATATTGATTGTTTAATCCAATTGAATACATCAACTGGTTTCAATCCTTTCCATTTGCCGCTCTTTGCAAAAAACTCATTAATAAGAGTGCTGTCTCTGAGCTTACAGTACTTGAAATTTCCATCCAATTTCAGCAAGTCCATCAACTTGAGATTCGTTTGTTCTAAGCGCTGATTATAAGAAGGCAAATTAGTATAGTTATAGAAAACTCACATCAACATTATGGGTGCTAAAGTCAATGGAGTTGAACCTGTTGAGGTATCGGATCCTAAAGAGCTCTTTGGATCAACAAGACCAGTCAAGCCATCCAAAGAGTTGATCAAATCTGTTATCGATCCAAGAATCGAGGCATCAAATAAATCAAGAGATGAAGATAAGAGTCTTAGAGGAAGATTGGTGTTTTATTTTTTTCACTTTATCCTATTAACAATTTATGGGTTTTATTCAATCTTTAGATCTATCCAATATGTGAACAATAGAATCAGAATAAAATTTTTGAATTTGGCTTATAATCCATCCAAAACTCCACAAATTATTAGAGATGATGTCCTCAAGTTGGCAAAGTTACCAAAAAGAATCAGTGCTATTTTGAATTTGAAATCTGAAGAGGAAGAAGGTGGTGGGTTTTATGGTTTATTAAATGATTCTGCTGAATTGACAACTTGGACTCTAGCTTCTGGTATTTCACAATTATCAATTTATGAATATGAGGGAACTTTGAAGAACAACGTCGAGGAGCTAAGAATAGCAATCTTTAAAAAGTTGAGAGATTATTTTGGGCCAACTTCAATTCCAAAATTTGTGATCAAAATTCCACATTTGAATATCAAGTATTATGGGGTTAATCATGATGATGATTTAGATTATCAAAACGGTGATATTGATATTGAGGTTAGTTTATTGTCAATTGAAGATGGTAAGGCAACAATTGTTGAATTGACTAAAACAATGGCCGATTTGGCTAGTAAAAAGGAAATCTCATCTAAAGATATTACAATTAGTTTAATTGATGGTGAGTTGACTGAATTGGTTGGTCTTGAACCAGATTTGATCATTTTGTTCACTCCAACATTAGACTTACAAGGTTATCCACCATGGCACATCAGATTGAGTGAATTTTATTGGGAAACTGATAATGAAGATGTCACATATGCCATCTTCTTGAGAGCATTACAAAAGTATTCAACATGTAAGATCAATGTTGGAAAATGATTTGTTTTTAAATTTATTTATTGGGAAAGTTTTATTAGAGTTTTACACAAATAATTAAAAAAAGAAGAAGAAGAAGGAGAAGGGGAAGAAGAGAATAAGTTCGGGATTTTTTTGCTATTTTAATTTCATCACATTGTTGGTTTCAAGTTTGTTGACATTTGCATTGCTTATACATAGCTATCTAATTAAGGTACACGCGCATATTTCATTTATTATAGAAGCACTTGTATTGTAAAATCGACTTTTCACCTCGCCTCTTCAAATAAATTCTATGTTAATTCATATTATCAAAATCGGTCACATGACATACGTTTACCCTGCTGATTCTCTTTTCGCGAAATCAAAAAATTCCACCAGAAATCAAAAAATTAACACGTCCACCCCTTCGCCTGAATTTCTGGAAAATGAAAACTACTTTCACAACAAATCTACCAATCTGGTACACCAAGTTTCATTGAGCAGAATTACTCACATCAATATAGAAAGTAAGTTAATTTGAAATTCGAGATATTTTCAATCAAAATATATCAAGGATCGATAAGGATTCCATATATGGTTTGTTCTCTCCAGGAGATCTAGTTGTTGTTGTCGTTGGATCAATCTGATATGTTTCAAGTTTATCTATAAAAGTCCATCATAAAAGCCAATCAATAATCTAGGCAAACTCAAAATCATCAAGTCGCAGCTTTTATTCAATAAATTGATCAAGATCGATAGAAATATCTAATCGCTTGTTATCTTTTAAGTTGTGCTGTTTTTTTTTGAAATGTATGGCGATTTGTTTTGGTCAGCCCCTAATAATAGTGAGTGAATGCGCGCCTAATCAGCAAAACATCCAAATGAGTTTAAATAACAAATAGACGATAGATGATTCCATTCCAGAGGCAATTGGTTCAATAAAGCTTCAATTTTCAATGGCCTTTGAGCCTTATCTTTATTGCTTTTTCCCGATTAGGGGCAGTTGATTTTTCTTTTCCGGTTATTGTTTACGTGTTTTCTGATGGAATCTTCAGCAACAACAACAACAACATCCATATGTATTCTTATCATTGATAGACTCCAAGAATCAATTACTAACTATATTACAATAGATGGGTCTTTCAATTTCTAAATTATTACAAGGCCTTTTCGGTCGCAAAGAAATGCGTATTTTAATGGTTGGTTTAGATGCTGCTGGTAAAACCACCATTTTATATAAATTAAAATTAGGTGAAATTGTTACCACCATTCCAACCATTGGTTTCAATGTTGAAACTGTTGAATACAAAAACATTTCATTCACAGTTTGGGATGTCGGTGGACAAGATAAAATTCGTCCATTATGGAGACATTATTTCCAAAACACTCAAGGTATTATTTTTGTTGTTGATTCTAACGATAGAGATCGTATCTCTGAAGCCCGTGAAGAATTACAAAGAATGCTTAACGAAGATGAATTACGTGATGCTTTATTATTAGTGTTTGCTAACAAACAAGATTTACCAAATGCTATGAATGCTGCTGAAATCACAGAAAAATTAGGTTTACACTCAATCCGTCAACGTCCATGGTATATTCAAGCTACTTGTGCTACTTCAGGTGATGGTTTATATGAAGGTTTAGAATGGTTAAGTACTAATTTGAAAAACTCTGCTTAAGTTTTAGTTTAATTATTTTTAATAAAGATTTGTGTTGACACAGAACAAAAAAAAGAAAGATTTTATACTATAAGAACATCCAAAAGATTTAGTTCATTTTACAAACAAAAAAAACTGCAAAAAATTAGTCATATTGAATTAGTTTTTTTAATTTTCCATTTTATTCATTATTATTCTCCCTCTCGTGTGTTGTATTAAATAAGTATTTTAAGGCCAAGATTAGTGAAAGAACAATATAATTGGCAATAAATGTCTACTTTACTAGAGAAAATTGAAGTGCATTGTCGTTCTTTTGCCTTGTAAACAGGAATGAGAGATCTATGTCACGACGTAAATGAAGGATCAGTTCTATCACAAATCAGTTGAATGCTACTATCGAAAGTTCAGCAGCGACGAAACATGAGACTTTCAAGCTACTTATGTTGACTCAATGTTTTGAAAAGTAAACACTCTCTTCAGATTCAATTTGTGATATTAGATCTGATACTTCTAGGTCAGTCAATAACCCGAAAACTACCCTAAACATGGTTCGAGCTCAAGCCTCAGGCACAAATCGTAGCTACGAAACCAAAACAAAGAAATCCACTTATCGATCCGCATCTTTATCTGTCACCTCAGTACAAACTTCATCTTTTGCATCAACGGTCTGCGCATACCGACTTCTACTCTTTTGTGACTGCCCTAATTTATATCATGTGACTTACTTTTAACTAACATCCCAACACCTCATACTTAACGAACGCCAAAATCCAATGTGTCGCCAACCGCCGCAGCGCCAAAGCTGAAAATTTCCAAAGAAAAGTCAAAAATCAAAAAAAAAAAATAACCAGTCAGTGGTGTGTCGCGTAACAGGAAATTTTTACCAACTCGTTGAGGATTTTGAAAAAAGCACAACTTGTTTAACACTAATACCTAAAGCTAGTTATAATAGTCAACAACAAGTTCAATAAGTCAAAATGGTATGTTCATATGAGACGTTACTGAAGGGCCTAAGAGAATGAGAGAGAGAGAGTCAGAGATAAAGTATCAAATAGAAAAAGTGTAGGAACAAGTCATCAAGTATCAATGAAATAATAGAAGAGTTAAATTCGTTAGAATGAGTACAATCAATGATCAAACAGTTATGAATGAAGGGATGTTCAAAATTATTATAGTGACTAGGATGAAGAGACTCAAAGATCTATTTTGAAAGAAACTAAACAGAGTGTACACAGTTGAGAAGGATAGAGTAATGACAAATTTCACCACAGTTAAGAATAGATTAAGGAACTCTCTTAAATGAATAAAGAATCATGAAAATGAATCAAGAACTACTATACGGAACATCTGATGAAAATATACTATCTTTTATCCATTCTTTAGCCCTTTTGTCACCAATTAACTTATATCAGTTCAATTTACTAACAACTTTTAGGCCGGTGTTAAAGCTTACGAATTAAGAACCAAATCAAAAGAACAATTACAAGAACAACTTGTTTCTTTAAAACAAGAACTTGCTAACTTGAAAGTTCAAAAATTAACTCGTCCATCATTACCAAAAATCCACACTGTCCGTAAAGATATTGCTCGTGTTTTAACTGTTATCAACTTGAACCAACGTGAAAATGTTAGAGCTTTCTACGCTGGTAAAAAATACCAACCAAAAGATTTAAGAGCTAAAAAAACCAGAGCTATCAGAAGATGTTTAACTAAATACGAAGCTAAACAAATTACTCCAAAACAACAAAAGAAACAAATTGCTTTCCCACAAAGAAAATTTGCTATTAAAGCTTAAGTTTTTGGGTATCTTTTAAAATTTTAATTTCGGCTGTTTAATAAAAAAATTATAACAAAAAGGTATGATAGGGAAATGATTTGAATAAAATTTTGTATTTTAAAATGGATTAATGTAGTTTACAATTTGTTATATTGTAAGAAATTCATTCAATTATTCTAAACATCAGTCATATCAACGTCACCTTTATCTTGTTTACTTTTCAATTTAAAATCTAAAATTTGTTGTTTCAACTCTTCATTTGGTATAACATCTTCTAGTTTTAATGGCATTCTATTGAATGGATCAGTTGAATCACTTAACAAATGTGCCTTGATGGTAGATCTATCAATATTAACTTTTGAACCTGGTAATGTAACTGGATCTTTCATCAAAGTAAACATCAATGGATCTAAAAATTCATCAGGAACTTCACCTAATTTCAGTTCTTCCTCCTCCTCTTCTAGTCTCTTTGCTTCAGCCTTATCAGCAAATTCAATAAAAGTCTTTAAGAAATCATTTGCAACAAAACCTCTATTACCCAAAATAGCTTCAGCCCTTTTGAAAGTTGATCTTTTGAAAGATCTTGAATCTTGTGAAACTGCGTTAATGAATTCTTCCTCATTTGACAAATTGTTATAAACTTTAGAGATGTTAACTAATAACTGTCTTGGACTGAATTGGTATTTTTCTGGCTCTTTAACTTTCAAATTGACACATCTTGGACCAACTAATGCATCAAGATTATAATCCAACATACTAGCTAGCCTACCAACAATTTCACTCTTTGTGAAAGCTCTTGGAACTTCTTGGGTAAACAAACCAAATAAGTCAATACTTTTGTTAGCTAAACCACAGAAAGATTTAGCTTGTCCTGAAGCACTGTTGAACCTAGATTGTAATTCTTCCACTGTACCTTCAAGAGTTGTAATTCCTCGTTCCCTCTTATCTAGTTCGGTTTGTACCAGGTGAACCTCTGCCAATTGTCTTAAGGATTCATCTAGTAAGAATGTTAAATCATTCAACATTCTTGCAATAAATCTAATAAAAAATTCTTCATTGTTTTCACTTTGCCATTTTAATTGGTTTTGATATAGTGGATTTTTCCAAATTTGTTCCAAGATTGATGAAATATGGTAACGACTATTGAATTTATCATAAAATTGGGATGAAGAACCTGTTTTCTCAACAATCACGTAAAAATCTAACAAGGCATATAATAGATTATCAGAAACCAATTTATCAGTATCTATAATATCGGCCATGAAACCAGGTCTTTGATCCTGAGTTGGTAATGTACCAATAAATAAAACCTCAACCAGGCGACCCTTCAAATGTGGATTCCCAATCAATTCTGGACAACGTAAAAATGTCACTGCAAATTCAACAAAGGTTTGTAACCTCGGATTTCTCAACATTGGATTGTTGGAATATTTAGAAATGTAGTGACAATAATTGATAATACCTTCAACAACATATTCCGGATAATATTTAAAAGGTGAAGGGGCTTTTTCTTTGAAATAATCTGTACTATCAACATTTTCAAACCCAATAACATCTGGGACCAATGGCAATTTCAATAATCCACCATGGGGATAAGTGTGTTTTGGATCGACCATCCTAGTTAAAAAGGCACTGGCACCACTGACAAAATCAAAGATTTCCACTTGTAGATCTCTATGAACAAAAAATGAAACTAGTGCATCTTTTTCTGATTTCAAAGCTGCCAAACTTGCTTCCATTCTTTGTAGTTGAACTTTTGCGAAACCTTGCATTGGGTTTGGAGTATTCGCTTGTTGTCTCAATCTTGCAATTGATTGTTCTAATCGTTTGATAGTAGATTTCATCTTGGTTTCAGACAAGTAAGTACCACCAATTCCATAATGCAAGTATGCTAATGTTAAATAGTAGCAATCAGATATGAAATTTGTTTTGAGTCCTTTGTCAATTTCTGTGTTAGCATTAAAGTATTCTGTTGCTTCAGCAGTAGTTGAATTAACTCTAGTTTCTTCAGAAATATCAACCAATGGGGTTTTGCTATAATAATTAGGATCAATACGGTCAATCTTTGTGAGTGTTGAATCCAAAAATGGTTGGGATAAACGAATTAATATCAAACTGATATTTGTGATAAATGCATTTGATGACAATTTATTGGCATCTGAATGGTCACCTCTTCTCAAGTGATTCTTATTAATGATTGTACCAAAATATTTCATTAGATCATGTCTTGATTGATCAGAACCTCTTATAATTTTACTTGTTATAGAAAATAATCTATCCAACAAGACCTTATGTTCAGCTTGTAAAGATTCACCAATTTTATTGATCTGTAATTGAGACTTTTCATTTCCTCTATCAAAATTATTTCTAGCAACAGTTCTTTGTAATGGTGATAATTTGAAGATTGGTCCCAAGATTGAAGAAACTTCAAATTTGGAGGGTTCTAAATCTGGATTCAGTTCAAATCCTTCAATTTGGGTGAACACAGCTCCAACAGCTTTCTGACTTAAAAATAACTGAAAGATGTTCAAAATCAGAGGATATTTTGGATTGTTCAAATCCAACCCTAAAATTAACTTGGATAAATTTGGAATGAAGATGTTCAAAAAATCTAGTAATGTTCCTTCCTCATCTGATCTCTTGATAATTTGAAGCAAAAAATCACTATAGCTATTCTCATTACTGATAATATCTAGTAAAGTAGAGTTGACGTTAAAACCATTAATAAACAAATCAGGGATTTGGAAAGAAACTAAACCATAACTTGAGGTCAATCTTTCAATTTCATTTAAAATCTCATATTTTGCATCTCTCAATGTGTCTTTTTGTAAAATGATTCTTCTTTCTTGGAAAGTTTTGTTCCATGCATTTTTAAGATAGCTGAAGGGATTATCAACCCCAATTTCTGATAGGACTTCGATAATTGCACGATCAGCTAAATCCTTATTGAAGACAGGGTCTTGATTCTCTTCAACCAGCTCTGTGAAAGTGTTCTCCAAGAAAATTGCAGAGCCAGATTTCTCATGATCCAGCGTAACATTTAAAACAATTTCAAATATCTTGTTTGTCCAAGACGTGATGTTCTCTTGAGTGGAAGCTGATGTGCTTTGCTTTTGTCTTTTAGCATCGGCATTGTCTAATACAGGGGTAGAAACGGTTGATTGTTCAGTAGATGATGATACAGCAGATGTTGTGGTTTTTTTTGTGATTGTTGCTGTCTGTGAATTTGTTGTATTTTGAGAGTTCAAACTTGTAGAACTTGACGGTTGACTTCCATTATTCAACTTAGCCAGACGTTTAGCTCTTATCTGTGGATATCAGTTAGTTATTTTGTCCATCTTCTATGCTTTTTTCTATACTCACCTCCTCAGCAGACATATTGAGTTGTTATAGTTTCCTTTGAGTTATTCCAAGGCCTTTAGCAGTTTCTCAGTAACAACTTTACTTCTTAGCACTTTTGTTGTTCAACTTGACTATTAGCCACTTTGATTCGATGAAATCCTAATTGAATGGTATCTCCAATTCCACAAAGACAAACTTGATGGTTCCCTTGATTGATTATTACTGACTTCACTGGATACCGCCTCCTTTGCAATATCAATAATGCCTAGTTGGACTTGATTCTTTGCAAATTCAAATCTTCAATATTTGCCATTAAACTCACAAACGTATCAACAAATTTGGCACAAGCAGATCTCACGTGAATGTCACGTTTTACGTCACGTGTATCAGACTTACCTGATTCGGCGTTTGGCTGATTTTCCTGAAATTTTGTTGGAACTCTTTTTTTTTGACAATCGTAACAAAAATATGTGTAAAAAAGCCAGAGTTTGACATCTTTTAATCAAGAATTGACTGGGTTTTTTTTGTATCATTTTGAGTCGATCAGAATCTACTATTGCTCAATTGAATTGTGAGAATTGACTGCCACGATAACAATGGTGAGTACGAAACCCTAGGCGTTATTGAAAGGTTGAGCATTGATTCTAACTAATTCCAGACATCAACGAGGAAAGAAGAGGATACACCTGTTGTTATCACAGATGCTGTCACTGCAGCTGATGCTCAATCAACTTCAGATAACAAATCACCAAATGATGAAAAAGCTCAATCCGAAGCACCAAACAACCAAGAACAACAAGGTGATGAAAATGCAAATACATTCGCTGCTCCATCTAATCAAAGGCACCCTATTATCTCTCAAGTTTTGAAGAATGCATTATACAGCGGGAAGGATAGAATGTTTATTTTATCACTAGAGCAAGATTTGATATCATTTATCAATTCTAATGTTGATTCATATTTGTTAAGACCAATGAACTCATACTATAGATTATTAACACATCAAACTGCGGAATATTATGCATTAGGTCATAGTCTTCATAACGATGGTATTTCAATTTTGGTGTTTAAAAACTTTGGAGTTGATATCACGTTACCTGTGCTACTTGCATCCGTCCCATACGATTATTCAATTCCTTTACAAAATTTGCATCCACAATTCCATGCTGCTCATATTCAACATCAACAACAATTTTTCCCAGCTGCTACTCCAGGCTTTATCCCTTCTCATAGTGGTAGTCCAAATGCACCAGGAGCAACACCATTTGGATTTGTCTCACCACAACAATTTGGTTTCCCAGTCCCACCACAAGGAAGTTTCCAGCCATATTCTCCGCAATTCCAAGGTTTACCAAATACTTCAGGACAAATCAGTCAACCAACAAGTGCTGGATTAGTTTCCAAGCGAACTTCTATATCATCTCCAAATGAACCTACTAAAAAGGAGTCATCAGTACCAGCTACACCATCTTCAGCCACATCACAAACACAATTCAAATTGATGAAGAGAACTAGTGATGAAGCGAATACCTCTACAAAGGATGAAACCAACCCAGAAAAAGAATCAAAAGAATCAGAACAAGATGATGAAAAGAAAACAACTGAAGAATCTACAGAAGGACCAGTTGCCTTAGAATCAGAAAGAGCATCAAGAGAAACGTTATATCAAAGGGCACGTGAGCGTATCTTTCAAGATGAAGAAGATGAGGAGGATGAAGAAGAACCTATTGAAGTTAAGTCCAATCAAAACTCAGCATCAGTTAGCCCTGATATTCCAAGAGTGATACCACAACAATTCACTCCACAATTTCAATATCCACAAGGTGTACCAATGGGTGGTGTACCTCCACAGCCATTTTATTATCCAATTACGTCGTATCCTCAAGGTGTTGCACCTCAAGGCATCCCTCAATTCCCAACAATTGGTAATGAAAACCTACCCTCATCTCAAGGATTCATTCCAGGCCAATATTATTATGCTCCAGGAGTTTCTCCACAACAACAACATCACCAACATCATCATCATCAGAATCATCATCACCAACATCAACCTTACAGAAAACAAAGAAACTATAACAATAATGGGCATAGAAAGAACTATAACAACAATTACAACAACAATCAAGGAACTTATTCAAATGGTTCAGGTTATGGAAATGATAGAGGACAAAGATCAACAGAAAACTTGTCTAATGAATTGAATGGTAAATTACGAATTGATGACCAAGAAAGCAAAAATGAAAAAGATAATTAAAGAGAAAAAAAAGGTAAATAACAAAAGGATGTGATTTAGGATATGGAAATTATAGAAGTTTTGACAACAACAAAGGTTCGATATGTGATCTAGTACAAGTCCGCAAAGCAAAATCAACATTATATTTCTAACTATTTATCATCTGTAGTGTTTTTATTTATTCTTTATGATTTCCACACCCCAATTCAAAGATAAATGAGTAACTTTATCATCATCAATGAATTTAGATTGAGCAGAATAAGAACCTCTAGCCAATAAACCTGAAGGGGCTTCAGTTTCTGGTAATATCACTTCATAAAATGGTTTTTCTTTTGTATTTGGAGCATAAGAACCTAATGGATCTTCAACTTTATCCACTCTAATACCAGCTTTCTTGATAGCTTGTAAATATTTAATACCTGTAACAATTTCGTGTTGAACTTTAAATTTAATTTTCAATTTATAAATTGATTTCTCTTTAATTTTGAAATAATTATTTGATAAATCTTTTAATGTTTTTTCATTTGTTAAATCAACAACAATTGGAGTTTCACCATCTATTAATAATGACATTTCTAATATGACAACTTTTCTTTTATCATTTGGATCAACAGGTAATGCTTCACCTCCTAATAAACCTAGAGATTTCTTCCATTTTTGTAAAGATTCATCTTCTGCATCTAATTTTGCATATTCATCAACAGTTTTCTTAGCAGATGGTTTATAACCGGTTTGTTCTTCAGGAACCAAATCATCAGCAGCAGATCCTGGTTGGTTTGACATTTTCCAAACGTATTCAATTGACTAATTGTCAGGCTAAACAAGAGGGTGAATCTGATGAAACAATAGTGAATCTTTGATTTGAATCTTTTGGAATGTTGACCAAAACATTTCGCGAATTTGTGTAAATGCTGCTCCTACCGGATCTCTTTCTGGGTAATTTTCGCGAACAATAAGTTCATAGTTAAGTATGGGGAATACACCAGTAACTTGATGGGTGTCGAGCTAATGAAAAAGCTGATAAGTCTAGTCATAATACTTTAATTATCTGAAAGGATTTCATTTAGAAATGAGTTTCTTGTGAGCATTTTTCCAATGTCGAGTTTTAGCGTATTTACAGCGTTGAAGATATCTCATCGGTATAAGCCGAAACCTTTTGAAATATTTATCAAAACCATGAAAAGTCTTTTGTAAATACCACTTATTCACCTAAACCAAAACTAGCCAAAATGTCATACAAACTACCCGATATCTCAACTCTTCCTACATTACCACAAGCTGAACAAGATGAGGTTCTTACTCATCTTTTCGAACCATCAGAAACTTTATTCACATATCTAAGACCTTATCTATCAACTTCATACTCTTCATATATTGAACTTATAGAAACTTCTAGAACAGCTTTTCTAAAGCTAGTGGATGATAAAGAAAGGGATGATTTGATTAAAGATTCAAGAATTGGTGATATTATCGCATGTCATCCAAGATTAGGAGTTCCAAAGACAACAAAATTAAGTGAACATTCAAGTAAAGAGCAAAAATCATTACAATCTGATGATGAAACGATCAAAAAATTCGTCACGTTGAATGAGACTTATGAATCTCAATTCCCTGGGTTAAGGTTTGTTTGCTTTGTTAATGGACGTCCCAGAGATGAGATTGTTGGGATTTTCCAAGATAGAATTGATAAGAATGATTATAAACAAGAAGTTATTGATGCGTTGAATGCAATGTGTGATATTGCTATTGATCGTTACAAAAAAATTCAACCAAAGATTTAAAACTACATGTTTCTAGACTAATTGTATAAATTAAAATTGAAAAGCAAAATGATAACACATTTAAAAAAATAAAAGTAGTAGTAAAAAATGGGAAAAGGAACTGTCAAAATGAATGAAGGTCATAACCTAAATGAGATAGATGTAATATATTAAAAAAATGGAACAAAAAGCACGCATAACATTGACACACATTAATTTTACATAACGCCGCTAATCATAAAAGTTTTTTTTTGTTTGTTTGGAAAAGATCACAAGAAATAATCTGGAGTTTTTCTAGTGACTGTTGGTTCTCCTGGCCTTACGCTTGGATCATATTGTAAGAATTGCCTAGAATGTTGTTCGTCAACTTCCATAATTGCAGCTTGATTACCACATCTATAACAATAATTTGGAGCAGAGAAAATGGTAACAACTGCTTCTTGATGAGACCATGAATAACCCTCCATAACCAATTGATGAGCTCTTGCAATCAAAGATAACCCATTAGTATGATTAAACTGTTCACTGATATCTTGACCAAAAGTGAAACCTGCACCTCTTGGACTTATACCCCATCCACCTCTATCATCAGGATCAGACCATAACAAATCACACATTGGGCCTTCATGTGGAACTTCTTGGATTCTATTCAATTCACGAACTTGATCTATAGTTTCAATCATTGGAGATAACCCACCATGTAAACAAAAGATTTTATTATCAACCAATGCAGTGATTGGGAAATAATCAAATAAATCAGTAAATAATTTCCAAACATTTGCAGAACCATATTTTCTCAAACATTCATCATAAAACCCATAAACTTGAGTAATTTGTCTAGATTCATGATTCCCTCTTAGAATGGTAATTCTATTTGGATATCTAACCTTCATTGCAACTAGATAACTAACAGTTTCCACTGAATAATAACCTCTATCAACATAATCACCCATGAATAAATAATTTGTATCTGGACAAGGTCCACCAATTTTGAATAATTCCATTAAATCATGAAATTGACCATGGACATCACCACAAATTGTAACTGGAACATTAACAGGTTGAACATTCTCTTCAAATTGTAATACATCAATAGCCATCTTACACAATCTTCTAACGTTTTCTTCACTCAATGGTTGACATTTACTTAGATGTTCAATCCATTCATCCAATTGATTTATATTTTGAGATGATAATTCAGGTAATGGACCTTCTTTTGGTTGGAAAGGGTGATTGAATGAGTAATCTCCTGTAGAGTTGGCATCTTCTTCTTCTAGGCTTGTGTCTAATTCCACAGCATCTTCCATTTGAACATCTGTATCTAAGTCCATTTTGCTTTGTTTTGTTTTTTTGTTGTTGTTGATGTTTCTATAACTTCTATTTTTGTGAGATTTATATATAGATTGATAATGCAACTATCAATATGTGTTTTTTTGTTGTCTTTTTCAATGATTGATCACCAGGAGTATCTTGATGATTGAATGTGATGATAATGATATGAAGAATGCTAATAAAATGTGGTTTTGTATTGTTGTTGTCCTCTTTGGTGGATGTGAAATTAGGGACTGTAGTGGATCAAGCAAAAGTTGCGAGACTGTGCCTGTGATGGTTGTTTTCTATTTGTAGGATGAGGAAAAGAGAAGTTCTCCAGCTGATTTCACTTGATGGTAGTAATTGTTAGCACTCTCAATTGCAAGATTGGGAATCCTCTTTTTTGGGGTGTAAATTGTGTGAATTGATTGACTGATTGTTGAATTGTCGTTGTTGTCGTTGCCAGTTTGCAATTTAATTCAGTTTTTTTATGAATTGGTGAATTTTTTACTAGGGGATTGTGTTGCGGGTAACACGCGATAGTTTTGAGAGAAGATTAAGTGGATTTTAATTGGCAATGAGAAGGAATTGGGGCTATTAGAGTGTGGATATGAGGTTCTATGGGTTTGAAATGTGTATATATCTGGTTTTCCCTATAATTTTCTCCATTTGGTTCGCTTTTTGTTGTTGTTGATGTTGCGGAAAGTTGACAATTTCTAAAACAAATGGCAACAATTTACAACTTTGAACGTGAGCTGAATCCAGTGGCAAATGACTGGATTGATCTGTGATTTAGTGAGAGTTATTTGAATGGCTCTATCGTGTGTGGATTATGGTGGCAAAGTAGAGATTTATAAATGGCTCATGAAGTAGAGTATGAATTATGTGAAGTCGTGTGTTGGTGGATGAAGAAGTCATAAACAGTAAAGGCAAAGATGAATTTAAACGGGTTGAACCATGATCAGCTGGCAGTTATAATAGTAAAACACCCAGCTAATTGGATCTCATTTGAATAATATCATTCGAATCACTGAGCAAGAAAATGCCTGTCTTCTTCATCAAGAACTAAGTGCTTTCTATTGGTCAATTCTGAAGCCTTACCTAGCCATATATCAGAACAAGAAGAAATGAAAATAACTATTAACATCCAATTCAATTCTTTCAAAAGAACAATCAACTTTTCAATCATTAAGTATCAAAACAGAGAACCCAGTCTCATCTCATCTCTTGCCAAATGCGGTAATTTTATGGAGTCATTGCTCAGGCCGGTACAATTTCAATTCAATCCAAATCATCATCAACAGGAAAACATTTCAGCCTTAAACATCTTTCAAACCGGCTTTTTATCGACGGCATAACAATGACAAAACAATCAAATCCTCCCCCAATCACATCAACTCCATCTTCTTCATCACAAGCACTGATCATACTCCCTCAATCATTACAACCTTGGAAGCCAACATTCTTATCATATACAGCTTCATTAGGATCAGTTGCGTTTGGGTACCCACTCGATTCAATAAAGAGTCGAATGCAAACACATGGTTTCAATTCGATAACAAAATGTTTCCTCAGTACACTTAAGAATGAAGGTGTTCGTGGACTATTTAGAGGTATATCATCTCCAATTTTTTCAATTGCTTTTTCAAGATCTATAAATGTTTCAGTTTTTTCAATTGTTAAACCATACTCTTCAAAACTATCGTTGAATTTACAAAGTAATAGCCCCATTTTGAATGTTTTGGCGAATAATTTACCTCGTTCCTTTGCTGCTGGTTATTGCGCCGGGTTTGTTACAAGTCTTTGGGCATGTCCTTTTGAATTTGTTAAGTTGTTTTCTCAAATATCTTTTCTAGAAAATAAGTCCAAAATTGGAAATATTGAAGCTTTGAGACAGATATTGAATTCTCAAGGTTATAAGGGTTTGTACACAGGTTATAAATTCCAATTCTTGAGGGATACTTTTGGTGCTGCGGTTTACTTCAGTTCTTATGAATCATTTAAATTGATTTTGAACTCTATGATGTTGAAAGAAGATGACACTTGGTCTATTTTAAGAGATTTCTCAAACAATTGGGTATCAATTGCATTATCTGGTGGGTTGAGTGGCTCTTTATGTTGGTTGACGATTTTCCCCTTTGATACAATAAAGAGTTTACAGCAAAAAGCTTTGATTTCCACAATTGTCGATAAAGAACACAAGACTTTTGAGACTTTGAAATTAAGAAGGAATATTTATAGGGGTGTTAGTGCCTCTGTTTTGAGATCTTTCTTCACTAGTATGGTTTTTTTTTCAACCTATGAATATTTGGTAAAGATTATAAGCTAAGTCAATGATGAACCATATCTAGACTTTCGTACTGGTTCTGAAATTACTTACAGGGACTCAGTTGTGGTTCTTAATTTTTTGATATGCATAGACGCGACACATATAAGAATCTTGAATTTGAAAGAAAGATGGTATGATTCAGCTGGAAAATAATACTGTAGTGACTTAAATATATACAGATCGATATTTGTAAGTATATTTTGCTTATGGCATTGACAACATATATATATTGTATGCTTTGAAATCGACTTGAGCTGATTAAATAAATAATCATATGCCCTTGTTATTGACACGCTATATGTGGCAGACTCCGCTATTAAAAATAAAATTATCACATATAAGTCACAACTGTAAGCTTTCATGGCTATGGCATACAAATCAATCAATATTAATATTAATTACTAAACAATTATATCTTTTTAACGTGTCGATCTGGTTAAATTAGATAGGGAGCGCGCCCACAGCTCGCTGAGATGGCAGAAATTCTCTTTCAAGTATTATTTAACACACATTGTTAGATCATCTATATAATAAAATTTCTTAGTTTTGATAAATCAAAATTCTCTATAAAATGAAATCATTTTAAGGATGATCAGAGAAGAACTAGAAGTTTCTAAAAAAATAGATATTATACACTCTTTATTTGTTTTATAAATTACTAGCAAGTACGTCGTTAAAATTCCTTAAATTTCGAAGGTACAAATGAAAAGGCGAAATAGGTCATAAATTATACATTTTCATAATCTTTGGAACCTACTGAAAATGAATATCTATTATTCCGATAATGGTATGATATAATATTGCTTTATTGTTTGCGTTCGAAAACTTAGTCATGTGACCAGCGCCGCAAAATTCGCAAGATCTGTTTTTAAACAAACTGGTGCTTAATTACTAATGATATGACAGAGAGAGCCTGCAGTGAGCTGGATTTGCTACAAATAATATTATTATCGGTTTTTGGATCAAATAATACAGTTATTAGATGAGAAACAATGTACACATATACAAATTAACAGAATTTAGTCACGTGAAAATGTGGCCCGTAACACCAAAAATCCACTATACAAACCTTCAATAAAACAAACTTCTATAAAACCACCATAATCAATGATATTCACCTATTTCAACACTCCAAGTAACATAAAACCATCTTCTACAAATAATTGGCTTCAAAAACACATGTATTTTGGCCTCAAAATACCTATATTAACCAACTACCTTAACAGTAGTACTACCGCCAGTGATGATCCAATCAACCAACCAACCAACAACAACATCCACTCAAAACAACCAGCTAGTGCAATCCTAATAACCAGCCAAATAAAATACAATATTGATATTAATCAGAAGATTAACTGATCTCTTCTTTAACCAAAGTTATAGCACTTTATAATAGTCGACATGTAGATTGCACGTCATCTCACTTAATAGTAATCCACAAAACCAAATTTTACTGAAATCCTTGATTTTGGGATTTTTGAAAAAAAAATCAAAATGACAATCAAAAATCGTTTTAGGCAAATTTCCCTAGGAACTTTGGTCTTTAGGGCTAAAATCTTGAATTTTTTTCAAA